GCAGGACCCAGCACCTGGCCTTACTGAACCTCGTTCAATTGGTCTTGGACCATGGATCCAGCCTGTCCAGGTCCCTCTGCAGAGCCTTCCTATCCTTAAGCAGAGCAACACTCCCATCCAATATGGTGTTGTCTGCACATTTATTGAGGAAACACTCAATTCCCTCATCTAGTTCATTGATAAAGATATTGAACAAGACTGGCCCCAACACTGAGCCCTGGGTGACACCACTGGTGACTGGCCACTAACTGGATTTAACTGTGTTCAATATAACTCTTTGGGCTCAGCCATCCAGCTAGTTTCTAACTCAGCAAAGAGTGCACCTGTCTATGCCATGTGCTGTCAGCTTCTCTAGAAGAACACTGCGGGAGACAGTATAAAAGGCTTTACTGAAGTCTAAATACACAACATCTACAGCTTTTCCCTCATCCACTAGGAGGGTCACCTGGTCATAGAAGGTAATAAGGCTGGTCAAGCAGGACCTGCCTTTACTGAACCCATGCTGGCTGGGCCTGATCCCCTGACTGTCCTGCACTTGCCATGCGAGTGCACTCCAGGTTAACCTCTCTGTGATCTTGGGTGCACCCCACCTGGCACCATAGATCTCTGCACATCTATGTGGTGTAGCAGGTTACTGAACAACTCTTCCTGGATTGTGGGGGGATCATTCTACTCCTCGTCCCTGTCGCCTAGGTAAGGGAGTTGGATTCCCTCAACATAACTGGTCCTGTTACTAAAGACTGAGGGAAGAAGTCATTTAGTACCTCAGCCTTATCCTCATTATTTGTCACCAGGTTTCCTCCTGCATCTAATAGGGGATAGAGGGTGTCCCTGGTCTTTCTTTTGCTGTTAATATATTTATAGAAGCTTTTCTTGTTGTCCTTTACCATGGAGGCCAGGTAATTTCTAGGTGGGCCTTGGACATTCTCACTCCCTCTCTGCATAGCCTCACAGTATTTTTGTAGTCTTCATGAGTGGCCTGCTCCTTCCTCCAAAGACCATAGATTCTCTTTTTCTCCCCGAGCACATGCCAAAGCTCCCTCTTCAGCCAGGCTGGTCTTCTAAGCCACCAGCTTGCCTTAGAGCACGTGGGGATGGCCTGCTCCTGTGCCTTCAAGGCTTCCTCCTTGAAGAGTGTCCAGCCTTCCTGGAATCCTATACCTTTCTGAACAGATTTCCAAGGGATTCTGGGAATAAGACTACTGAACAAGTTAAAGTTTGCCCTTTGGAAGTCTATGGTGGCAGTTTTGCTGCCCTCCTTCTTCCCCCCAGCATCTCTAAGAATAGATTTGTGGTTGCTGTGCCCAGGACAGCCTCCACCTGTCACATCTCCTAGCAGCCCTTCCCTGTTTTACAAAGATCACATCTAGCAGGGCACCTTGCCTGGTTGATTCACTCACCAGTTGTGTCAGGAAATTATCTTCAACACATTCCAGGAACCTCCAGGACTGTTCCCTCTCTCTGTTGTGTTGTAGTTCTAGCAGATATCAGAGAAGTAGAAGTCCCCCACAAGATTGAGGGCAAACAACCCTGAGATTATACCCAGGTATTTAGAGAACAGTTAATCAACCTCACTGCCCTGGGTGGGAGGTCTATAGCACGCTCCCACAGTAGTATCAGCCTTGTTGGCCTTGCCCCTAATCCTGATCCAAATGTACTCTACCTTGTCATCATTATTGTCCAGTTCTAGACATTCAGAATAATTTCTAATATACAGGGCCACCCCACTGCCCCTCCTTCTTTATCTGCCTCTCCTGAAGAGCTGGTGGCCATCAACAGTGGCACTCCAGAAATGTGAGGTATCTCACCACGTTTCTGTGATAGCCACATCATGGCTTCCAGCTCCCTTTGTTTGTTGCCCATGCTGAGCGCATTCGCAAAGAAGCACTTCAGATGGGTTAATGATTTCCACACCTTTTTGTGGGCACAGGCCCTAATTCTTGCCTGACCCTTCTCAGATATTTCCATGGCTTCTAAGCCATCAATAACCCTTGTCTTTTGCTTCCCATTATATCTCTATCCCCTATATTAACCAAGGTGGCAGAGCAAGAGTCTTCTCTAGCACACTGTCCTACAAACCCTGGCATGCATCCCCCAGGCTTATTTACAGCAGGCTCAGTTTTACACCCTTCCCCCTCTGAATCTAGTTTAAAGCTCTGTCGATGAGCCCTGCTAACTCCTGCCCCAGGACCCTTTTCTCCCTCTGGGACAGGTGTACTCCACTTGTTACCAGGCCTCAGTTGCATACAGCTCCAAAACCATACACACCAGTCATAGTGGCTGATGAATCATGAAGTGCTCCACTTAACATGAAGGTCTCAGAGGAGGACGGAGACAAATGCCATTCATGCAGATAAATGAAATGCAGGTGTTGCAACACAGCTGAGGCAACAAAGTAATTCTCCTGCTCTGAGCTAAGATCTGGCTGATTCAGGCATTTCGGATCCACTAGAGAGCCAGATCCAAAACAGGTCATCTCAACGGAAAAACTCCACGGAGTTCATTGTGTTTTACATTAGCCTTATGTTATAAAAAAGAAAGAACCTGAGTAAGTAGATCAGTTATTTGGCTTATTCAGGCTTGCACTTACTGTACAGGGTAGAGGTACTATGGAAAGCCAGTGGTTAATAAAGAACAGCCCAATAACAAGCCACCTTTTAGAGCAAAGTCCTCATCATCACTAAAAAAAGGGAAGCAGCATCATATATAATCCAGGACAAAACTAATATTTAAAGAATTACCATCCTGCATCTTTTGCGTGTACGTCCTCAGTAGAGCTCTCTTAATCATAAGATCATAAGAAAATAGCAACTTGGTACAGTGCAGGCACAGACAATTTAATAGTGATTTGTGAAGGGCTTCCAACTCACTTTGCTTATGCTTATAGTATATGACCTTACAAGCCACTCTATCACCTGAGTTAACAAAAATTACAGAAGTTTGTTCAGCTGCCTTTCATTTAAAGCATCTTCTGCTTTCAAGTCATTATCAACATTAATTCTAATTACAGCAACTTGTATTTTTCATGGGTAGTCATTATGTGGCTTCTTATAATCTCCAGTTCTTCCTCAGCTTCCTCTTATCTTGCTATATCCTAACCTTGTACACTAAATTTCACAGGATTACATAGGTAATAACACAACAGATGTACGATTTTGTAAAATGACCATCTGTTAACTTGGAGCTGAACCTAATGATGTATGTAAAGAAACTAACCTTCTTTCAGAAGACCATCTCCTGCAGCTGTACTTTTCTCTATGGGACAGATCCATAGATCCACAGATTTTGTTTGCTAGCAGTCACCAACTCCTAAAATGAAATAAAGTCAATAGTAAGAACCTTCAGCAATAAATCAAGCAGTAATATAGTGAATATATCTAAGACAAAACCAATGCCCTACTGATCCCATAGAAATGTTTTTAAACTGTAGCCCAGCAGATTTTGAGTAATTGCAAAGAAAGCATTTAGAATGTTTGCACAAAATAGTCTATGCCATAAAGCACAAAAATCCACTTCTATGTAACATCTACAACAACAAGAAAAAAAAAAAAGCCCTTCAGTCTCAGTAGGGATAAAACATTGGCAGAGTAGTTGTTCCCTTTTCGACCAAGAGTACAGATTCCACACTGAACCCAAAGGGGTAGTTAAAAGAGCAAATCTGTCAGAGGAGCAGCCAATGTACTGTATTCCTCATTATGTGGATTCATGGATGGAAAACAGTCTGGTTCTGTTACAGCTGAAGTCATGAAGAAGCCTTACAAAGTAAATACATCTGTACTGTGTCTGGCTGAGGCAGAGCTAATTTTCTTCATGGCAGCCCATATGAAGTCGTGTTTTAGATTTGTGAGTATACCAGTTTTGATAACACACCGATGTTTTAGCTATTGCAGAGCAGTGCTTGCACAGCATCAAGGCCATCTCTGCTTCCCACTCTGCCAGTTAGAGAGTAGGCTAGGGATGGGAAACAATCTGGGGGGACACAGCCAGGACTGCTGACCCAATCTGAGAAAATGCATTGTCTGTGTCATGCAACATAATGCTAAGCAATACAATTTGGTGTATTCCCTCCAAAGCAGTTGCTCCTCAGAGACTGGCTGGGCATTGGTCTGCTGGTAGGAGGTGGTAAGTGACCACCTCTTTGTCACTTCTTGGTCATTTTCTCTCTTTCCTTCACTAATGAAAGTGTCTTTATCTTGACCCACAACCTTTTATCGCTTTTGCTTTTACAGCTGCCTTCCCCAACCCACTGGGCTGGGGTAGTAAGCGAGTAATTAGTGGGTACTTAATTGCTGGCCAGGGTTAACCTACCACATCTCACGCTCAGATTGTCTTAATAACCTTTCTAAATTAGGCAGATAATAGCTATGTTAAACAAGAAGCTGCTCAAGTATCCCAAATGTCCTCACTGACTGGTGAAGAACTTTATGGCAGAATTCACCCAGCATCAACATCCTCAAAAGGACTAAGGCATTGGGTTGCTCTAATTGAAGCTTTAGAAAGTAACATAATATGACAAGGCAATCTTAAAACAACTTGACATATTTTCTCCAGTGATTTATTTTCTGTGCCAATTCATCTTTGAAAGTTAAGACAGCTCATCCTCAGATACTCTGAGACACCATTTCAAACGTTTGTGCAATGAACAGCTGGATTTCTTTCTGAATTGGCCTAATCGGTGATTCAAAGCAATCGTAGTTTACAAATTAGATGTTGAAGCAAGCTATTCTAATCTCTAAACATTAGAAAAACCAATCCATGAAGCAACAGGGAAGCAATGTAATTTATCTGTTTAGAAAGGGTTTTGTTTATACAGTCTCTGCTACCCATAGAAATTCTGTAAAGCACCCAGAGGCAGCATTAGAGAAAAAGCATCTACAGTTCTTGCAACTCATTTGTTAATGTCAAGTGGATTACTAGAAAGAATCCAGGAACTCTTACAATACTACACTTTTTATTCTAGGCTTAAAGCTTAGAGATTTTGACTTTCACAAACTCAGAATATGAGAACAGTTCAGTTCAAGCACCAGTATGAAAGTATTTTTAATTACTCCCAGAGCTTAAACAGCAGTGAAGTGGAGAAAAAGTCTGATGCGAAAATGCAAATGAAGAAACTAAGAGCCTTTATTTGTTACAGAATGACAGGCTCATTTGCTGAAACCTAATACTGTGCAGGCTATGTTAGGTCAAATATTAGGGAAAACATAGTAAGTAGCACCTTTCCTCTTCCCACAATTGTCAGGTATTCTGTACCTCTCTTTTTCACTTAAAAGAGGTTTAAAGGAATAGGTCACCAACACAACCATACATTATATTCAGACAAGAAATTATTTTTTCCTCATGAAAGCAAAGCAACACAGTTGGGGCAAACAGCACACATTCCCAAAACCCAGAGTTTTTACTCCAGGAAATAAAACAACACCCTCTCTGTGTTGTACACAAAGAGTAGTTTTGCCTTCCAATTGATTCTGAAGTTCAGGGATGTATCACTGGAAAGACCTAAGATAAGGTTTTTTTTGAAGAGGAAATTACTCCCCCAGTCACAGCTAACAGACCTAGCACATACGTGAGGTAAATTTTGCTTTAAAGTAGTGACATTCTTGTTTTTCACACTGATAGTAGGGCACATTCTGAGATCTGGAGACAAAGGGGTGTTCTCAGCCTTGGGGATTTTCTCCAAAATCCTCAGGATGGGTGAAAGAGCCAGAAAGGGCTTTTTGAAGAGGCAGAGAGGGAAACGGCAGAAGGACAATTTAAGGGGCAGATAATCTAGGACTGCCTTATTCCTGCAAGGAAAGGTCTTCAAATAAAGGACTGGCAAGTTTCACAAGAGGCCAGGATGCAGCACAAGCTGCGGGCACTGAGCTCGGGTGTGACGCGGCACCACCACCCAGCACTTACTTTTTGGCAGACCCGCTACCACCTCTTCGCGGTGCTTCTTTGGATTGTGCCAACTCGGCTCAAGAGGTCACGGATTTAGGGTGGCGAGCGAGGATTTGCCTGTAAGGTCTTTACCCCACAAAAGGCTGTGGCACATCCTGAGCGTCCCTGTTTGTCCAAGGAGAGCAGGGTGCTACAAACGCAGCTTGGGAGCAGGTGACAGACCTTGTGCTGTGCAAGGAGAACGTGTTTTGCTGGCACCGACCGCCCGGGCCGCGGGGCCCAGCGGGGCCGAGGCTCCTCTGGCGCACTCTGAGATGGTGCCAGCGGGAAGGGGACGGTGGCCGTGCCCTCCGATCCCGCCGGGGCGGGCCGTGCTCCCCCTCCCGGGCACTCCC